AAAGCCAACAGCCAAATTCATATAGTGCGCACAGAAATTCAAAACCCCGTCAGATTTGCTACCCTTACAACGCTATTTCCCGCCAAACCTGTTTAGTTCCCAACTTGCCTATCATCAAAGCAAAGTGCGCGTTGGTGATGTGGCAACGGGTGGGAGAACGCGGTTACACAGCCAAGGTGTTACGATTTCGGCAAGAAGAGGGTCGGCTGCAAGCTCAAGAAAACTGGAGCGATGGTGATAACCGTTCTTTCTGGGACGCACAGAATTGCCGGTCGCTGTTGTGCAAGGAAGCGTTTAATTGCGTTTATGCATATAGAGAATAGTATTTTCTATCGTGTTGAGCATGGGATAGTAAGGCCCCTGCTTCAACATTTGCGCGTCCATGATTATGTCTTCGTCGAACACATGCTTTGCCCGTTTGTGGCAAGTAGCGTTGTCCAGAACGAACACAAGCTCGTTAAGCGAGACGTCGTGCACCTTATGCGGCACAGAAAGTGTTGGATAAACTCGCAAGCCCAGTCAGCGGTGAAGGAACCAAACTGTGACTCCTGATAAGCCAGACCCGTGCTCAAAATGACAGCGATAATGTAAATATTCTTGCCTTTACTAGCCACGCCCGTTGACCTCGAGTGCTGCACCCACAACCTTTTGAGCACCCCAAGTTGAACTGGTTTCATCTAGATAAGATACGTTCTTGTTGTTACCGAGCGCTGTGTAGAACTTAATTACTTAGTCGTGCCGCTTTTGCTTATTGATAGTGCTGTTGCGGTTTACAACGTTGTGATGGAGTATCTTTTACAGTGAAGCAACGCCTGTCAATTGCGCTCCGCATTGTTTCACGGTTTGGAACCAAGCCAAACTTCTGCTCTACAAACTCTGCCATTTGGACTAGCGTAAGTTCCTGTGTTATGGTTAGTTCCTGGAACAGGTAGTCAACATCACCATCTAGAAGTGTTTTTGCGGGCCACCGCGCTTCTTCCGCTCTCCACTCCAGTTTCTCGTGCCCAACGCAACCTTGATCCACCCCCAGGCAGTACGCTAGTTTACACCGTGGAGCTTTGCAAAGTCCTTCTAGTTCTTCGCCTCCTGGGCGACCCGAAGAATTCAACAGCGTGCCTCGCGCGAGTAGTGTTTGTAGGGGATACCTGGCATGATGCAAATATAACAATGACTGATCCAGGCGCGCATGGGTAGCAAAATCAGCGCCAAAGCAGCACGAAGTATCTTACCATTGCGAACAACCTCGAGGCAATCGAAATACTCTGTAAAATCTGGTTTTGTATATCAAATAAGTATAGGAGTTCTTTTTGAAATTCAGTGCGCACTATTTGAACTTGACTGTTGACGTTTTGAATATCGCCGTGTAATGGTGTATAAACAACTCATAGCGTGTTGAAGACCCCAGACAAGTCGGATTGGTACCCCGAACGGGTGATCCCGGATGTACGACACCGAGTATACAAAAAAGGTTCCTTGACACCTGTAATTTTCCGAAACGGGACCTCATAGCCTATAAGCAGCGTGTCCCACACCACCAAAACAACATGTCAATGAACACGACGGAGATCAGTCACAGACACGACCCATCGTGGCACAGACGCACATCTGCAAGTCGTACCGAGCTTTGAGACGCACACAGCGCATATAGTCTACAGCACACGACACACAGAGCGCATGGCAACGGCCGTGAGAGCCCACAGCACACGACGCACAGCACACGTCGCAGAGAGCGCACATGACGCAAGCAGGTCGTGCATTATACCAGAGATGTAGAAAAGGTCGACGTCAGCATTTCGTCCGACCCAGAGTTGTTAACGATCGTGAGCGTCGTCAAGTGTTTTAATCTAACATTATGAGAGTAGTCTTTTTTTTATTAAATGCATTATTTTTTCCTAATCACGACAGCAGAAAAGAAATTTTGTCACGTGGGGTGAAAATTGCGCTATTAGCTCCTGGTGTCGTTGATTCACTATCGGCATCCCAGATGTTGTAAAAGTGATGTTGGCTACAAAGGCTGTACCACACGGCTGGCTTGGACATCTGTATTCTGGACTAGTGCGGCGTGGTCTGCGCATGTAGACACGTAATGCCTCGTTCTCTGATTGCTACCTCGACAGTTGTATTTTCCCCCTCCCTTTCCTTCACCTGCACTTCTAATTCTTCTGAATTTAGGACAGCCTGCTTGACAATAAAACGGAGACGGGAGGATACTAAATTTCTTTCAACACGAAGCTGTCAGGGCCAATAGGAACAGTAGATTCCCCAAACCCTTGCCTATACTCATTCACGTTGTGTGAGAGATGACATGCATCCATCTCACGATCGGCAGCTCCAATGCTGCGTAATGCAGCAGTAATGTATCGTGTAATGATTTCTTGTAGAGCAATCACAGCTCAATGTGTCGCTATCTACCTGACGTTTTGATTCAAAACCACTTCTGCTAGTAAAGAACTTTTATCACTGAAGCTCTGACGTATCCAGTGCGATCCCGCTTCTCTTCGCTCCACATCACGTAATTTCATGCAAGATCTGTTGAATCTTTTGCGCCATTACTCCATTTGAAGATTGTTTTCAACGAGCTGTAGCACCCGTCATATTGAATCATGGTTGACTGAAGCATCCCATATGGTGTAGAAACACGTTACCCAATAGTTATCATTTGGTTATTCGCACTTTCTACAGAATTGGTGGATTCCCACCCGTACATAAAGAGGCTGGGACGAATCTAGTTGGCGCCGCAGATACGCAGCCTGGTATATATGCCCAAGCGCACCAATGAACAGGCGGAATTTCTTCAACTTAATATTGCTACTGGTTCAGCCGCGTGCTTATCGAATGTCGTGTACGTTGCGGATGATGTGTATAACGTGACTTTAAATTCAACGGATCCTATTTCTAGTAATGTATCCATAGCTCCACGAAATGTGGCCGCGCAATGAGATCAAAGAAGACTCCAGCAGCGGTACAATTCTAAAAACAAACTGGATGTTGTCTTCATTTCTGAATGAACTACAGCTATGGCAACAATAACATTATTTCGATTTCCAACTTGAAGTAGTAAAATCAAAAACCAAGATACTTCTCAGGTTTGAATGCATTCCATCAAACATTTAATGGCTGGCATGAAGGCAAAAATACAAACTGCAGACCCCAAAAGTTATTAAAGTGTGAAAAATCGGCCTTCTGTATCAAGTTCCAACGCGACACGGGAACCGGGATTCCGGAATTCAAACCTTGCATGAGAGACGAAAGCATAGTGAACGGCATGCCCCACTCAATATCTTGTTTTGCAGAACTGCATCCTTGGCTCTGTATAACGCACTTCTCAAATCTTACAGATTCAACTTATCTCGTTTCAATAATAACCCTTGAACCTAACGTAGACTTTTTTATTGGCTGCAAACGCACTGTTGAATGAGTCGAGTTGCTGAAGTTGCCGCTCTGAAGCTTTTTTTAAACGATGAGCAAGAATTTGAATGCACGTTGTTGAGTGACGAATCGTAATTTATTCATATTTCTTGTTGGCAAGATCCCGTCTATACAATACTGCTGACCATAAACACCGCGCCGAGTCGCTGCATCGATAGGTTGCACTCCCCCCCCTCCATTCGGACGTTTTACCACACGACGGTCAAATGTTGAAGTTGTAGCCCTTCATAAAATGCTCTATGAAATGAAATAGCTCTGCAGTGGGGCTGCCGTAGCGTAGCGCCAGAAGAAGACGTTTGACTCAAAGAGTCCATCAACCTTAGTTGCGCATCCAAGGGCACTAACCAACCCACTAACTTAGGGTTGCAGAGATATTTAACCCCAAATAACTCTTAGATTCTCAATAACCAAACTGGTTATTATCTTTTATTTGCGGCCAAGCCGCCCAGGGGTAAATGTATGTGTTGGATAATTTAGTATAACTAAACCTAGTCAAATGCATAACGTGTTGATTCCAGCCCACGTAATAAGAGTCTGGTTAACTCCCCGAGTTATGCACTGAGAGTCTGTTAGCTCTCGGGGTACTCCGTACCCCTTGTGTTTTCCACACCGTAAAAACCCGTTACAAGTTCCTTGGTTATCGCCACAAAGGCATAGTATCTTGAACCCGCGCTTTGACACGCTCATGCTCAACAGCAGGAGGAGAGGATAAACGTCGTGCTCAACGAGAAAGTCGTCGTCCATTTGAAAATAGTGAACGGCGTATCGCATGTACTCGCCCATCTGGTGTCATCCGCAGCAGCGGCGAGAGATGAAAGGTGCGTATCTGAATGTCTCGCCCATTTATCCTCAAACGAAGAAGCACAATTTTCATATAGTACCTAAATCGAACGCAAGAAACCAATCCCGTTTGAGTCGACTAAAAAGGCATATGAACAAATTGGCCGGATTCAAATTTACCCTATAGAAAGCTATAGCTACTCGGAAACGTAAAAGAGACCATTCAAATCGTTATCTATCGAATAACTAAGAAACATCCTTGTCGGCTTCCTAACGGGGCATTTGTGTCGTATCAGACTCGGCTTCGCTCAGGTCGCTGCCAATCTCAAAGTCACTGTGCACAGGGTGATCATCCAACTGCATTTGGTGGCGAAGGCGCTGGTTGCGCCGGTAACGCTCTTGGTTTAGGCGACGCCGCTTTTTCATCTCTGCTCCGATCGCCAAAAGCCGATTCTGGTACTGGCGATAGCATGTCCCATTTTGCTCTCTTAACGGGTGCAAGGTGACATGGTAGTTAGTTAGACTCACGCAGATGTGGAATATATCGTCGTAAAAGGCTTCGCTCCAGCGAAACTTCTCAGCACAGACACGCCACAAACCACATATTCTTCCAAAGAAATTCTCGACAATAACTCTGTCGCTCGAGATGCGCCCATTTTGTCGTACTTCTTCCGGGTTCAGTTGGTTGCCCTTTTTGGGGTGAATGCAGCGCAGATGGGCATCAAGACCTTGATACCCTTTATCCGCGAGGACAGCCCACTCCTCCGGATAATCCGAATGAAGAGGTCCATTGTTGGGAAGACGCTGGTTTCCTTCAGCTTTGCGACGAGCTTGTTGGTGACAGGCTTGATTGTTCCTAAACACCGTGATATCAGCCGTGTTTCCTCTAGCATGGCGAGTGCAGTTGATCGCAAGACCTCGCGGATTCACGGACACCTCCACCTTGAAACCATACAACTTGTGTTTGGCACTTTAGAAAGGCATGGCTTCAGCCATAGAGCCGCTCGGACGATTCGACTGCTGAAACGTGACGTCGGTGGCGTACAATGCGCAAGGAAAGTTGTTAAACGTATGCCCCGACGTTACCAGCGCCCGCATTGTGGTCACGTCTAGTTGCGAGGTTACCCACTCTTCGTAGAGTTTTGGTGTCACCACCTCAATGAATCCCGTGATAGCCTTAATGAAAGTCGGCGTTTTCACTTTGAAAATTTTTGCCACCAGGTTCCGCCGCATTTCATGACCCCAAGCAACATGAAAAACAAGTCCTTAGCGGCGAATGTGGAGCGCCTTCCACGTCCGACGTTCCAGTACCGATGCACATGTCCACGTACAGAAAACCACAATGTGTTTATCTCGCTTGGAGAGAAGTTCGTGAGCACGGCCTCGGTTCCTCCGTCACGGTAAATACCATCAAAAATTGTGCACGTTGAGGTCGGTTCGGTGTTGTTGACGTCAACTTCATCAGAGTACCGGTTCAGCTCCTCAAGTCGAGCCTCCTCGCGATCTTCAAGTATCTCCAGCATCGACTGGAGATGGGCTCTGGACGATCGGGAGCTAGAGGCTGCCCGAGAACGAGTCGGCTCTGTGCGAACCGAGCGCGAACGTGCGGCTGCCACGCTTCTTGACGAAGCGGATGATGCAGGAGACGTCGAACGGCCTTGTGACCTCGGTAAAGTAGGCGACTGGAGAGACGACGTTGCTAGTGTTGGGGTCCGGGACGTTGCGGGCGACTGGCGAGATGGCATTGTTCCGATGTTGGTGAAGGGAATGGATCACTGAGAAGCTCGACAGTAAATTCGAAAGTGAACGCCTTCATTTCGAATTCGCACGATAGCATAGCACAAAACGTCGACCGTAAGGCGGAGCGACCGTTCGAGGGACGATGGTATAGATGATCACCAATAGAAATGTAACTCATTTGATGCCACTAATGCGTTAGAACAGCAGGTCAATGAAACACATGCTTGTATTCTTATTCTGGCAGATGACTTTTGGAAAAATGGATAACTTCTACAAAGGACTATTGATCGTACACAGTTTTGACATTAAGGTATGTATCTTTGTAATAAGCTCGTCCTCGTTCATGAGACAGTCCTTGACCGCTAGATTGAAGCGATGGCCTGCGCATCTGATGAGCGGAATGGATCCTTTCTTCCTGCCGATGTAATGGTTCACAGAGCAGTTTCGGCGAAACCTTTTCGCCAGCCAAAACCTTCACAGCACTCTAGGCCTTGTTGTATCGCGACAACGTATCAGCAAATATGACGTGCTTGCTCGGAGCATTAAGGGCCCTCCTT